GTTAAAAAGTAGGGTAGCAACTTTTCCAGTGATATCAAGATTGTACCTTGACCAGGATACAATACCTTGAAGATGCAACGAACCAAATCCTAACAGATTCCTCACCTTGACAGTTGTATAAAACTAAAACCTTCATATAAGATAATAATGACTTATACCTCTGGAAGGAAAGAGAGTTAATAGAGGGAAAAAAATAGAAACAAAGAACAACAAATTTGGAGTCCTTTGAGATCTCACCTATCTCTTGGGAACACATAATCAGCAAGAAAATTTTCCTTTGTATTTTGACCAGTGTCCCAAAAGATAATCGTGTACTCAAAGGTTATAATAACAAGAGGAAAATGTGCCTAATGAGCAAAGTAGGAAACTGTAAATACATCCTCAATATCAGCCTTTCAGTGTGTGTGTGACCTTGGGGTGGACTGGACACAGCTTATTTCTGTTTTTGTTTTTGTAGACATTAAGTCTTGTTTAGGGACTGATGTTTCTCTCCTTTCTCCCCAGTTGTCTGGGATAGAGGATCAGCCTCCATCTCCTACCACCTAATGAGAACTTCAGTCATCCACACAGAGACCTTCCTCCCAGAAATCCCATCACAGTGAGTCATGATCCTGGGTGACAGGGTCAAAGAGAATGTGGGCCAAGAACATTTACCTGTGGTCACTTGAGAGTAAATCCAATTAATTCATAGGCAAGAGACAGTGTGTTAGTTTGTTTCCTTGATTAACTATTCACTTAGGATGCTAAAATGAGATGTGAATGTTGAGCTCAGCATCACAGGCATCATCATTGATGTGTAAAATGATCATTAGGAAGCAAGACAGAAATAAGAATGGGAGTTTCAAAAATGCCCCCATTAAAGTAGAATGTATCCAATGAGTTTAGAGTTAGGGGGAGTAGGAAAATAGAGCATTAGGCATGAAAGGCACTGAAATGATAGTGTTTCTTATTTTTAAGATGGACTATATTCAACTAAGTCTCTGTATTGGCTAAGAACAATCAAGAATTGTTTAGTTGCAAATAATACAATGCAACACTTACTTGATGGGAGACATATATAGTATCTTCTATCACTCTGAGTAAAATACTGTTTATATAGTAGCTATAAAGGGGTATGCTAAAGAGCTTTACTATGCAATTATTTCACTGTCTGTGAGGATGAATAATTGTGAGTTAGCCATTTGATTTCTCTATTATAGTCTGTGCAAAGTATTTACATTTATATAGTGAAACAGACTCTATTGCTGTTTTCATTGCATTCTTTAAAACAAGGTACCAAAGTTGTTTGCAACAATTTTGCAATTTGTCACTCAGTTCTTTTATGTATGTATAAATGGGTTCTTAAGAAATAATCAGAGTTTATAATTTTGTAGGTGAAATCTATCCATCCCATTGTGTTTTCTCATTGCTTTTTGTTAAGTCTACTTTTTAGAAGAAAGTACTGAGCAGTTATAGGACTATCTTAATATTACATGAAATTATAACATCATTCTTCTTCCACAATTTTAAAAACTCTTATATTTTTCAACTTGCAAATTTTGATAATTAATCTGAATCAGTTGTCATGCTCATGTCATTAAATTATGATTTCATACTTTTATATAGCCTTAGATTTTCATTCAACTTTGCTTCATACAATTGTTTTTAAAACCACTATCCTTAACAAAATTTCATCCTTATTGACATTATTTCATATATTCTAAATTTCTATTGACTTCTCTTTTTATATTGCATATGTATATATTCATACATTTTTATACTAATGCATAAATAGAATCTGATACATATCCTAGATGCTCTTTATTTAGTGCAGATTTTTCTACCTTGTGTTCCCATTTCTTCCTCCTTAGCAATGCCTCATGGACTTGCCTCCAACCAACTACTGACTCATTCTTCCCATGACTGCATAGCATTGACAGTGTGTCTCTGCTATTTACAACTGTGAGGACCTTTTCATATTCTTTTTTTTAAGATTTTATTTATTTATTTTTGTGCAGAAGAGCTGGGGTGCAGGCCAGAGGTAGGGGGATAAGATAATTCACCAGAGACAGAGTGGGGAGCAGAAAAGGAGGATCTACTGAAATACATTGCTAAGGGTAGCAGCAGGCAAAACATGAGAGGGCTGCTGTGCCATGTGGGTTAACTCCCTGGCTGGGGATCGAACTCAGGTTACCTGGGAGGGTCTTCGCCATGATAGCACTGACACTTAACCCCTAGGCCACCAGGGAAGACTTACCTTTTCATGTACTTAACATTAAATTGTTCTTTTTTTTTTTTTTTTTTTTTTTTTTTTCATGTTTTATTTATTTATTTGTTTGTTTGTTTGTTTGTTTTTTTGTTTATGCATGCACTGGGTACAGTCAGAAGCACGGGAGGGTGAGAGAATTCACCAGAGCCAGAGCGGGGAACAGAGCAGGCAGAAGGACCGAAGTACACTGCTGAGGGGAGCAGCGGGCGGCAGGAGAGGTCTGCTGGCCATGTGGGACCCTCCTCTGGTGGCCGGGGAGCAGCCGGGGATCGAACCAGCGCCGCCGAGGTCGTGGGCAGCTTCGCAACCCAGCGCTCAACCGCTGAGCCACCGGGGAGGCCCAACATTAAATTGTTCTTATATCAAATTATTCTTATTCTACAAAATAATTTTGAGATTGTGAAGTGCAAGCTGTAGTTCCAGCCAGAGAACAATTTCTCCCACTGGGGACATTAAGCAATGTCTGGAGACATTTTTGGTGGCCACATTGGGACAATTGGCTGGAGCCCATGGGGGCTGTAAACATCTTACATCACACACCCAGACCCAACACACAGGATCATCTGACCCAGAGCACCCAAAGTGCCAAGACTGAGAAACCCTGAGGCACAGGTTATTAATGTTAGTAACATTTATACATGTCTCCAGATTGTTCCCTCCACCTCTTAAAACCTTACATTTCTGCCAGCAAAATTAGAGGGTACCCCTTTGCTATGTGTTTAGAAGTCTCAACCCTGCTCAATAAGACAGCTCTTTAACTTTTCCCCTGGACTGATGTGTGCTGAACAGATTATCTTTTTTTTTTTAAGAGAACAAAACTTTATTGCTTCATGCTTCAATCCACTCAAGTTCTTTTGAACCTCAGTTCCTTCTTAAGAGAAAATTTGTAAGTCTAAGTTTATAGATCACAAGGGAAAGATATTTTTCAGAATTCTGTGAACAATCTATTTTCACCAAAAAGATCTTGTTGGGTTATTCCAACTTCTAATTGTTGCTCTTTATTAGAAGACAGACAGGGAGAAAGCTGGTTGGAGTTGGGATCTTAAACCTTGTGATAGAAATTAAGTTCATCTCCACCCATGAAAGTTTAATTCAATGAGGAGTCTTATGACAGACTCCAGAAACCCCAAAGACAAATGTCCCTGAAGCCCAAATTAGTCTTGTCTCACTCCAAGGAAACACCCCAAACTAAAAAATGGATGTGATTTTTTTTTCCTCCTCTGTTAAGATTAATATCTGCTCTAAGTTTGCTTCTGAGCCTGACAAATTACACACTCTGGGAATGAGCGAACGCTGCCTTATCAGGACCAAGCCAGCCATGGGCACCTTGTCCACTGGCCATCTTGTTGAATAATGAATCTCTAGCTGTGTCATTACTGGAGTTCTTTGTCTTTTTTCTTAATCTTTTCAATTTATTCATATATATTTTACATTATTGTTCATTTTTGTACAACATTTGCTTTCTCCTCTCAGGTGTAGTCAATGTAAAATTCCCACCACCAATTCACAGGTGCACCATCACCATAGTCCCTGTGCTCTTCCCTCCCCTGTTTTGATCCCTCTCTCTCTCCCCTGCAGAATGTCTCTGATTTATAGTTGCCTGTTAATTTTGGGTTTTTTTATGTATTTTTTCCTAATCCTTTACTTGTTTCCCCTATATTCCTCCTGTAAGTGAAACTATCCAATATTTTTCTTTTTCCCTCTGGCTTATTTCACTGAGCATAATCCCTTCTAGCTCCATCCATGTTGCTGTGAATGGCATGAGTTTATCTTTTTTGATTGCTGAGTAATATTCCATTGTGTATATATGCCACATCTTCTTGATCCAGTCATCTATTTTTGGGCATTTGGGTTGTTTCTATATCTTACCTATTGTAAATAGTGCTGCATGAAAAGATATCTTGTTGTTTTCTTAAATTAATCCTGAGTTTGAGCAAATATTCATATATTTGATCACCATTTTCATTTGACCAGTACTTTTATATTTCCGCATACTCTGTAACTATTCTTTGTAGTTATCAGAATTTCAGGTGACTTTTACATATCATTGTTTCTCAATGACTTTTGGAGGCGCTTTTGGGCCATAAGAAATTTTAAATTTATTGACAATGTCTATCTTCTTACTTTTGAGTTTCTGCTTCATGTTAGATGATTTTGCCAACCCCTAGATTTTGTATGTAGTGTTCTAGGAATTCATCTAAAATGCAAATCACTCTTACACTGAGATCATAATCCTTCCAATTTTGTGTCACATATTTGAGGGAGAGGAACAGATTCATTTCTCTGGGTTTGATAGTCATTTGTACCAGATTTTATTCAAATACTTAACATTTCCAAATAAATTGATTATCAAACTTGTAATACAGTAAATGCTGATAAATGCTGATATACTGAGACCTATTTTCTATGTTTAGAAGAGAGTCTACTCACACATTCCTCAAATGTGGGAAAGAATATCCCATTAAAGGTGTTAAATACCTGATCTCTGGTGGAAAATGGGATGGGCATTCCCATTCACAGATGGACACAGGAGATTCAGAAAAGAAACAAGTTACATAAAATTTATTTATCATATATAGGTTGCATTTAAGATATTTATTTTATATATATACATATATATATATATATATATATATAGCAGATATTTCTTTTCAGACTCCAACATATAAATAGTAGCATTATCTTTGAGTAATGTTCATTTGTGAAAAACTTAGTATTGTAATTTTTTTATCCCAGTGATTACCTACACCAAATGGAGCCAAGAAATAAAACACAAATTGCAGGATTTCTTCTTCTTGGATTTTCAGAGATAGCAGAACTGCAGCCCCTCACATTTGGGCTTTTCCTCTCCATGTACCTCATCACTATTTTGGGAAACCTGCTCATCATTATGGCCACCATATCTGACCCCCACCTCCACACGCCCATGTACTTCTTCCTTGCTAACCTATCTTTTGTAGACATCTGTTTCACCTCCACTACCATCCCCAAGATGCTGCAGAATATTCAGACACACAGCAAAGTTATAACTTATGAAGGTTGTATCACCCAGATGAATTTTGCATTATTCTTTGGTGTGCTGGATGACCTTCTCTTGACTGTGATGGCCTACGACCGATTTGTGGCCATCTGTCACCCCCTCCACTACACAGTCATAATGAACCCCCGAATCTGTGGGCTCTTGGTCCTGGTGTCCTGGATCCTGAGTGCCCTGCATTCCTCATTACAAAGCTTAATGGTGTGGCGACTATCCTTCTGTACAGGCTTGGCAATCCCCCACTTTTTCTGTGAACTTTATCAAGTGATCCATCTTGCTTGTTCTAAAACCATTCTTAATGACTTGGTGATGTATTGTGCAGCTGTGCTGCTGGCTGGGGGGCCCCTCGCTGGCATCCTTTACTCTTACTGTAAGATAGTATCCTCCATTCGAAGAATCTCATCAGCTACAGGGAAGTATGCAGCATTTTCCACCTGTGCCTCTCACCTCTCAGTTGTCTCCTTATTTTATTGTACAGTCCTAGGCGTGTACCTTAGCTCTGCTGGTACTGACAGCTCACACTCAAGTGCAACAGCTTCGGTGATGTACACTGTGGTCACACCCATGCTGAACCCCTTCATCTACAGTCTGAGGAACAAAGACATAAAGAGGGCTCTGAGAAGTTTCTTATGATGGAAGCTATAAAGGAAAACTTTTAATGGGGCTTAGGAAGTGACTTGATCTAAGATTGGGCTCCTCAGAACCAGAAATTGAGATGCTTTGATTAGATGGAAGGGGAACTTTTCTTTAAATTTCTGGCCTTCTCATTTCTTTGATTTCAGCTTCCTTAAACAATTTAAGTTATTGACTTATGAACCTTTCTGCAAATGTTTTCTCAACCATACATTCCAAATTATACTCCATATATACACAACTACGTGGAAGTTCCAATTGAGCTCATGAATCAACACTTGGTGACCAAGGTGGTTTCTATCATTTATAATATAGAAAATCTGAAACTGTAGTTTTTCACCATTATTTCTGAACATTCCATTATGCTTCATTATCTATATTGCTTTCCCAGACTTAATCTGTTGTCTGTTTTGTTTTGTTTCCTTACATTTTCTTACATTTTCATTTTTGTAACCTGCTGGTATGTTTTATAGTTGACCATTGGTGTTCTTTCCCCTCATTAGGATACTGTTCTCTTTTGGCTCATTGTCCACAATGCCAAATCTAGTCACAAACATTCATTTGTTATCAAATACATTTGTCCATGTGGCCTAATTATTTGTTAACCAAAACACTAACTAAATAAATATGATAGGGTAAAATACTTTGAATTTCTAGGCCAATTTTCTTTTCAAAGTTGTATGTCTGCTCAGTGAAATATGAAATACCTGTTACAATGTATAAGGGGTTTACTTATTTGGTAAAGAATTGTATGGAATGTTTTATATTTATTTTCACTAAATCATCTTACTGTTTATCATGGAAATTGTCCAGTATTGACTACAAATATGATTGTTTCCCTTTACTCTAAATTAAAGCTTTCTCTCCCTTCTCTAGTTGTTGTCACGTCCTCTAAATCATCATGATATCAATATCTGTACCCTGGCCTGTACCCCAGCTCTTTCTCCACTTTGCTCAGAAATCTCTTTAAGATCCATGGTTAAAGAATAACAGACAGGGCCTCTCCTGGTGGCGCAATGGTTGAGCCCAGGGTTGCGAAGCTGTCTGCAGCCTCTGCAGCACCGGTTTGTTCCCCGGCCTCCAGCAAGGGGGTCCCACATGGCGTGCAGACCTCTCCTGTGGCACCCACTGCTCCCCTCAACAGTGTATTTCATCAGTCTGCCAGTTCTGTTCCCCACTCTGGCTCTGGTGAATTCTCTCACCCTCCCATGCTTCTGACTGTACCCAGTGCTTGTATGAATAAATAAATAAATCTTTAAAAAAAAAAAAGAAGAAGAAGAATCACAGACATGAGAGCCTGAATTGCTAGACCAGCCATTTGATGCAGGGTCATCTTCCTTCTGAACATGTATGCCTTCCAAGCACTCTGAAACTCAGTTCAATGTGGCAAACTTGAAAAACAGAGTAATCTAAAATAATGCTTCAGCTATCAGAACAAATGTCCACAATTAGTAGAAATGTGCTAATATTATATTCTTCAACATGTTTTGTATTGAGTAATGTATCAATTAGCTATTGCAGCATAACAAGGCACCCTCAAATGAAAGGGTTTACATTAATATCTTTCCAATGGGATTATATGGGGAAAAGTTGTCTGATCGTGACTGGCCTCCTTATGGGTATGCAGTCAGCTATGCATGTACACATTGTGTTTCACAGACTCAAACATGATGTACGTGCAACTGTAGTACACTTCTGATATGTAACAATACCTGCTCAGTTATTCTATTTACATATGTCAGTTAATAGTTTAATAAAGGGAAAAGTTGAAATTATCAAATGTGAATTTCCTAATTGATTCCTCTGTTCCTGAATCTATACATGACTCTATTCTCTCTATAATTATAAGAGAGTCTCTCAGCTCTTAGCACTAGATCCTTCTCTGTGCGTCATTAAATGTTTCCTTTTTTAATGAATTCGTGAGAGTGCAATGACATACATTAATGATTCTGCATTCTTTGGGTAGATATCAAGGAGCATAATTGCTGGAGCATATGGAAGAACTATAATATTTGAAGAAACTTCCATGCTGGTCCGGTATACATTCTCACCAACATGTGCAAGGGTTTCCTTTTCTCACATTGTTACTAACACTGTTTCCAGTATTTAAAAAAAAAAACCATTTTAATAGTTATGCAGTGGTATTTCTTTCAGATTCATGCTGGAATTTCCTTGATCATAAATGATGATGAGCATTTTTTTCATGACCAATGTCTTTAATCCACCTTGAATTAATGTTTGTATATGGTATGAGATAGTGGTCTAGTTTCATTCTTTTGCACAGGACCATGTGGTTTCCCCAACATCATATGTTGAAGAGACTTTCCTTTACCTTCTGTATACTCTTGGTTCCCTTGTTGTAACTACTTTGTCCATATAAGTGTGGGTTTATTTCTAGGTTCTCAGTTGCAGTCTGTGTCTATTTTAATTCCAATACCATACCATTTTTATTACTATAATTTCAGAGTACTGTTTGAATTCTGGGAGTGTGATGACTCCAGTGTGTGTGTGTGTGTGTGTGTGTGTGTGTGTGTGAGAGAGAGAGAGAGAGAGAGAGAGAGAGAGAAAATGTCTTTAGCTGTTCAGGGTCTTTTGTAGTACCATATAAAATTCAGTAATGGGGTCTCCCTGGTGGCGCAAGGGTAAGGATGCAACCTATGAAGCAATCCGCAGCCACTGCAGCACAAGTTAGATTCCCGGCCAGCCAGGGAGCAACCCACATGGTGCAGCAGACCTCTCCTGTCTCGCCCACTGCTCCCCTCAGCAGTGTACTTCAGTCAGTCTGCCTGCTCTGTTCCCCACTCTGTCTCTGGTGAATCCTCTCACTGCCACCACCCCCCCCACACATCTCTGGCCTGTACCCCAGCTCTTGTGTGCATAAATAAATAAATCTTTAAAAATAAATAAAAAATAAAAATAAAATTCAGTAATGTTTGCTCTATTTCTTTGAAGAATGTCATTGAAACGTTGATAGTTATTTAATGAATCTATAAAATCAAAAGAGTAAGATCGTCATTTTAACCATGTAAATTCATCCAAATCATAAGCAGGAAATATGTTTCCTCATGTCTTCTTCTATGTTTTAATAATGTAATACAATTTTTGAGAACTTTCACCTTCTTGTTAGGTTTATTACTAAATATTTAATTATTGTTGATGTAATACCAAAATGGATTGTTTTTCTGATTTTTTCCTGTTCTAATTCACTGTTTGTATTTAAGAATGCAACAGATTTTTCTTTGTTGATAATCTAAGGTGCCAATTGACCCTTCTGAATTATTGTTTCAAATGATTTTTGTGAAGTCATTCAGGTTTTCTACATATATTTATTATATATATATTATGTATTTCTAGATATCATCATGTCATCAGCAAATAATGATAGATTTACTTCTTTTCCAACTTGGATTTTTTTCATATATTTCTCTTCATACTAAATTGCTCTACATTGAATTTCCAATACTGTGCTAAGTGGTAGAGGTGGTAGTGCATATCCATGTCTTGTACCAGATTTAGAGGGAAAACTTCTAGCTTTTCACAATTGAGAATGATGTTAGATATGTGTTTGTCATATATGGCCTTCATTATGATGAGATATGTTCCTTCTATTTCCATTTTACTGAGAGTTTTAATCATAAATGCATGTTGAATCTTCTAAAATGCCTTCTCTATATCTATTGATATGGACATCTGATTTTGATTTTCCCTTTTGTTGATGTGGTGAATTATATTGATTGAGTCACATATGTTGAACCAACCTTACATCCCTGGATTAAATCCCACTTAGTCATGATGTATGATCTTTTAATGTATTGTTGAATTTGGTGATGTACACTTTGGTCACATGACACTGAACCACTTTTTCTACAGAGGAATAAAGATAAAGTGTCACTTGAAAAAACTGTTATTAATAACACCTATAAAAGGGCTAATTACATTTGTGGTTAAGAAGCAATCTTGATTGAGGAAGAAACGTTTCAGAACCAGAAATTGAGATTCTTTCATCAGATTTTAAAAGTGGAAATTTCTCCTTCACTTTTCTTTGAATAATATATCAATTAGCTATTATTAACCAGCCATCCTTAAGTCTAATGTTTTAATACAACATCTTTACTTTCAAATGGGACTATAAGGCAGGAGATTGCTCTGACATCCATGGTCTTTCATAGCTATACAGTCAGCTGTGAGTCTATACTTAATGTAACATGGATAACCAGGGCTACCCTTCTTAGAGTCAGCTGATTCACCATGCTATTCCATTTAATACCTTAATATGTCATTATAGAAATTAGCAGATTTAAAGGTATAAGGCATAAGATTGTAGACATCTTTGGAAGACCATATCCTCCCAATATGAAGCCTCTTTCAGAAGTATACTATTTTGGTAAAGTCAAGGGAACTTTTGTAAAATAATGACTGCAAATTATATACACGTTTCAGCAGACCGCAGGTGCAGGAAAGCGCGCTTCCCACTCACCATTTTAGAATAGGGACCTTCGCCTCATCAAAAACTGCTTGAAACTGGGATGGGGCTGACCCTGGAGCCAGAGGTGAGCTAGGAAGCCTCCCCCATGCCAGGCCCCTTCTGGTCAGCCCAGAGGGGGAGCGGCAGCCACAGCCAGGCAGACCATGGGCACAGGAAAGCGCAAGAAGGCACGCTGCCAACTCTCCATTTTAGAATAGGGACCTTTGCCTCATCAAAAACTGCTTAAAACCTGGAGAGAGCTGACTCCACAGCTAGAGGTGAGCTGAAGGCCCCCACAAGCCAGGTCCTGCCTGGCAGGGAGTTGGAGCCAAGAGGGGGATCCAGCAATTTGGAGCCCAGCAAGCAATCCACCCACCCAACCTCCAGGGCAGTCTGCAGGACTTTAAGACACACCTCTGGAATTAAACAAATACAGAAGGAGGAGATATTCTGTGACAGTAACCATTAAAATATTCACAGTACCACTGCCCTACAGGACTTCGGGCATAACAGTGTTTGACTCGATTGGACCGCC